GGAGGAGGATGACGAGGAGGAGGGAGGAGGGTGACGAGGAGGGAGGAGGAGGGAGGAGGATGACGAGGAGGAGGGAGGAGGGTGACGAGGAGGGAGGAGGGTAACGACGAGGAAGGAGGGTGACGAGGACAAGAACGAGATGAGAAAGTATTGCCTGCCGGTGTGCCAAATGGCACACCATGGGAGGAGAGAGGACGAAGGAGGAAAGAGCAGGAAGGAGAAAAGTGGAGGAAGGAAAAAAGTGGAGGAGCGAGGAAGAAGGACGAGGGAAGACGAGGAGGAACGAGGAGGGGGAGGGGGAGAAACGAGCATGAGGAGGACGAGAAAAAGGGAGAAAAACCGCGCGCCGGGCCACACGACGCGAGAAGAAAGGGGGAGGGACGCGAGAAGAAAGGGGGAGGGACGCGAGAAGAAAGGGGGAGGGACGCGAGAAGAAAGGGGGAGGGAGGAGGATGGAGTATTGGGGAGGATGACGAGGACCAGAACAAGAAACAGAAAATTTGAACGCCACGACGGGAGGAGGGATGAGGAAGGAGGAGGCGGGAGGAGGCGGGAGGAGGCCGGGGAGGATGACGACAAGAGTCAAGACGAAAAAGAAATCGTGTGCCACACGGCCACGTGGCACACAACGGGAGGAGAGGATGGAGTGCGAAGGAGGGGGAGGAGGAAGGAGTGGGAAGGAGGGGGAGGAGGAGGAAGGAGGTAGGAGAAGGAATGAGGAGGGAGGAGGGAGGAGGATGGAGTATTGAGGAGGATGACGAGGACCAAAACAAGAAACAGAAATTTCGAACGCCACAACGGGAGGAGGGATGAGGAAGGAGGAGGCGGAAGGACGCGGAGGACGGGGAGGAGGACGACAAGAGACGAGATGAAAAAGAAATGGTGTGCCACACGGCCACGTGGCACACGACGGGAGGAGAGGAGGAAGGAGTGCGAAGGAGGGGGAGGAGGAGGAAGGAGGGGGAGAGGACAAGGTCTCCAGCTCTCTCTCTCTCTCTCTTTTTCAGTGACGGTGGGTGGGTAGGGCCTTCCGCCATGGCTCCCTCGTGAAGACTCGTGGAGACGACGACGAAGATGGCGGTGCAGCAGGAAGGTGTGCGGGTGATGACATGGTGACGCGGAGGCCTCTCYACTTGAGGATATGTGAGACGGAGGAATGGTGGGGCCGGTAGCCGGAAAGGGGGGGCGTCGCGTTCGAATTTGAACCCCTCCCTTTGGCGGGATTTGTTTGCGGACCAATCTGGGCYGCTAAGATYGGCGGCCGAGATTGGGCAAGAGAAAAATTGGACCTGCTGGTGTCCGGTGAGGCCAGATTGGCCCGCAAAGTGGACCTGCCGGCGGTAAGGCCCAAAACGGCTTTTGGGCCTTCCTCGGTACGTGAGAGGCCGGAATGATGGCAGTCTRGGCCTGAAATGGCCGGCAAAATTGGGTGTGCRCATAATTTTCCTGGGTATGCGCACAATTTGAGCGTTCCMGTGGTCGGGTAYAACTGCAGTTTGGCGGTACGAACCTTGGCCCACCTCGGTCTCGGTCATGCAAATAATTTGCACATACCATTTCCTGGGTACAGATGCAAGTTGGGCACTGGGACTGGGTATAAAGGGTATWCCCATCTTTTGATGGGGCGCAGATGCAATTTTCCCTTTTCTTTTGTAATTGTGTGGTGACTTGTGYTACGGTGGATGTTGAAGAAAAAAAAAAAAGAGACTTGTGATGAAAAACTGCAACCTAATGCACACGTAGCCCGAGGTGAGTTGTACCCGTGTGTTGGAGAGGACTCACCTCCGAGTGTGACTGTACCACTGTCGGGGACAATTATCGGGAGAAATCCCTGTCTGGGAAAATTATCACGATAAATCCCTGCATTACATGGCCTTGGACTCTAGCGGAGTTGGGCATGACTGAAAAGTATCCATGATTTTCTACAAACAGAACATCAATGATTTTCTTCAAACAGAACACGACACTGCCTGAATTGAACTAGATATCCCCGAACTAGCCACACCCTGACTCGAAATAGCCGTACCAAGTCCTGATAGACCACACTTGCACGCAAAAATCATGGCAACCAACGAGCCTAGCTCACCCATGAACTGTTGAATTACACACCCAAGTTCGAATCATGATGAACCTAAGATGAATGCAATGAGATAATGCTGACTTACTTGGGCTGGTTAACTTGATGATGATATCTCAAGGCCCTTGCATAATAAGAAAAAGAAATGAAAAAGAAGGGAAGAAAAAAGAAGTCATAGCAAGTCCTGACAGACCACACACACACACACACACACACACACACACACACACACACACACACACACACACACATCATAGTAAGTCCTGAAGATCCCGAGCAACTTCAATGCCATCACTGTTTGCTAAAACAATGAATGAAATGCAGTTGAAACGGTTGGAACAATGTCATGTAACTGCCGTACAACSACTGTAGGGTGCGGCAATCAAAGTCCAGAATGGCATGGTTGGAAATAACCAAAGCATCAAAATGAGTGGCATTAGATCACGAACACGGGTAGCTAAAAAGAAAAACAAAGGGGTTATGGTAACGCTGGAAAAGGCTGGAATATGTCAGAAATGCTGACGACCAGCCAAGAACGGCCGAGAGTTAGCCACAAAATGACTACGCAGTTCAAATGAACCATGACAACAAGCACTAGTTTCAGTCACGCAATAACATGTTTGTTTTTTTCCTCCGAAAAAAAATGCGTAGTTTTCTAATGGTACTATATGGAACTACCAGACACCAGTGAACCAGTTTTCTGATGGTACTATATGGAACCACCATGCCCCAGYGAACCAATCGGACGACTGATACAGGCTGTAGATGAAAAAACGTGGGGTCTAGCGGTAGCAGTGGGGACAAAGAAGTTGCAAGAAAATGCACAGAAATACCRAAGTTTGCCGCCATCTTGGAATGTTTTTTTGAATGCTTCAATATTTTCCATGAACAGAACCAAATGCAATAAACTCAGTTCAAATCCGCATGAGTCAAGGCCAGGGTCRTAACTTTTCGTCGAAGGCCAGAAAGAGGTTTAAAAAGTCGCGTCCTGAGTTGTCCCAGGTCAAGGGGTACGGGGCCCTGAGTCAAAAGCTGTGTCCAGTACCCCMACGCCAGGTAGTTGACTCTTGGAAAATCAAGAGTCAGACCCAACACAGGAAATGTAGCCCCAAAGTCAGAGTCTCCCTGTAGTCAAGCACAGCCGTAGATCAGGTGCACATCAAAGGTTGTCTGCAGGTTTCCAGAAGAATCCAGTTCCAACAGGGACATGACACATCTGGGACAGCATTGCATCCAGGCCATCGATTTCAAGAAAATCTCGGCCGTAGACACGGTCCAGTAGGAGGCTGGTCAACGCCACTCAACACTATAAAAAGAAGACCAGCCCGAGGGGGGACGCGTTCTGGCTTGCTGTGACTCGCAGCCAAGCTGCAGTGCGCAAAGCTTGTGTGCGGAGGTACTGGCGCCAGATGTTGTCGGAGGGCGCCAGCCTTGTTGGAGGACATGTTGGAGTGGCCATAGCCGCCATAGCTGTAGGTGATGAGGCTGGGCGAGGAGGAGGAGGATCCTGTCCGTGAGACTGATGGAGGTTCAAGGGGAAGCTTAGCTGGACTACCTGTCGCCATTGGGAATGAGCTGCTGACGGTCTCCATGAAGTTGAGGAAGGTGTTACATGCCGCGCCTGCAACAGGCTGCACGGGCCATTTTCAGGCCCGTGACGTTTTCAGCCCAAAAGCCTGAAAACAAGGGCCTACAGGCCCTGTGTCGTTTCAGCCTGAAAGCCTGAAAACAAGGGCCTACAGGCCCTGTGTCGTTTCAGCCTAAAACAGGGCCTTCCAGGCCCTGAGTCTTTTCAGCCTGAAACAGAGGACCATTTTCAGGCCCTCATAAGATCGACCTGCCCTGAAACTTAGGCACCAGACCAGGGTTTTATCACAGGCCATTTCGGGCCTGTTTTCAAGACAA